TTTGTAACCATTCCACCTATTGCCCATCGAGCATTATTTACTAAATGGGATAGTGATGTATAGATAAATTACTGAGGTATATTTACAAATGGAGGCTAGTTTTTGATCGGGCGCAGGAAAATATCAAATGCCATCATAAACTCTGAAGGAAAAATATCACTACGTAACGAATTATTTATTTTGAGATATGAAATGTGAGTTGAATAATGAATGCTTTTCTTGAATTATATGATTTCATGACAATGCTTTAGTTTGTTATTTCTTCGATATCTTTTCAATTTTGGTATTTACTTGCGCACCGAATATATATATTTACACTGCAATGTTCTGCAATAGTTAGATTGACTTAATTCTAATCGTCGACCTTATTACGATTAAAATGGATTCGTAATACATCATTATTTAAGCATTATTTTCGCATTCTATATTTTGGTACCTTCACACCCTTACGGACAATAAATTTTTGTTTATTTTTTTTTAATCATTAATCGGAAATAGCAATTTTTTTTCAATTTGCATACCGATTTTAATATTTGCATTTGCTTATCTGCTGCCTTTAATTATTTGAAATTGATTCATCTGCCTAACTGTTCTTGTAAACAGTATTCAAGAATTACACTTTTTTACTCAAACCATACATAACAAGTTACCTAATCTGTCACAAAGTCAGAAACTAGGTATTAAATGTTATAAGTGATAGTTTACATTATGGACTTAAATTTATAACTAGAATAAATATTATTGATAGATTAAGGTCCTTTTCATACTTTCCAAGATAATATTAACATTGTATCACTTGTAAATCTAAAATTAGAATCATTAATGCACAAAGTTCTACAAATTTTAAATACCAACTTACACTATTATCCAAATTTTACTAATATTAATAGTTTTAAAACGATTTTTCTCTTATTTTGTTTAGAATCTTTATTAAAATATTAAACATTAGACTAAAATTTTTGTTTTTATTGTCTATTTATAAATTGTTTTTTTACATTAAATCAAATTTGTAAAATTTCATTTGAATATATTTATCAAGAATTTGAATTTCACAATCTTTTATTTTATTCAATCATTTAATGATATGATATTTAGTGATTATTAATACTGTTTTTTTATTAAATAAAATAAAATTATAATTTTAAAAGATTGCGTAATATTTAAATCTTATATGTAAAGCAATGAAAATCATAAAAATTTTTTTTTAGTGTATTAATGATTCTAACAATATATAATAAACAATTTATGGGGCACGGCATCAATACATATTTATACACTTTATTATCCTATCTATTGCCTCTAGATTGTAATTACTTGCAAGGCTCTTAATACAATTATTGTATCAATTAAGATTATTGTTCCATTTAAACAGATTCAATTTGTAGATGAATCATAAATGATGAATTTTTTTAAATAAAAACTTGAGGACCTTAAAATTTTTGTTTTACAACAAATAAAACAAATCTTATCCTAATAATTTCACATTATATTTCTGATTTATTCTGCATTAGTTGAATTATCCCTATTCTATTCTTATCTGAATTATTTTCTGCGTTAATGGGGCGTTAGTTATCAACCCGAATCTAATGCCATAAACATTTCACTTAAAAGTACTTGTTTTGCCTGAAGAGATAATGTTGCGTATTTGAAACACCAGATAAAAGGTATATATTCATTTACCTTTGTCAAAATGTTATGTTAATGTATAGTTGATATGAATAAAGTACCACAGTTCAAGCTACATCATAATTCTTGTTCCACATGCAAAAAATAGTACCTGTGCAACTAAATCAAATAGAATAAAACAACACTTCTGGATTTTCAATTTATAATATTAAATTAGATATATTTTCTTGATTGGCAATTCATTACTTGATGTGGCCAAATTTTTTAATGCTTATGATAAATATGATAGACATAAAAGATATGATATTTATAAAGAATCATAGTGTCATAAGATAGAATCATAGTTGCATAATAACAAATATGCTAAGCATGAAGATAGGCTATACATGCTAATATTTTATCCTTATATGACTTGGAAATCTAATTTTTTTTTTCTTTTTTTTTTTCTTTTTTTTATATATATATATATAAAAAATGACTGATCAAATGATATAATTACATATAAACAACAAGATAACAGTCTTGCAAAGCGATTTATACAATCATGAATTTATGTTTTAATGTGATATTTTTGTATTCTACAAATGCTAGAGGAAATTTAACCTCTAAAAAAAAGAAATAAGCGTAATATCCACGGCAGCTGATTTCTTATATTATTTATTCGTGTGATCTTTATCGCAAAACGACACACCGGTCAAGCTGCATCAATCTAAAACATGATTAACTAAAAGCACCTCTTTTAATACCTACTTACTAAAATGTTAGAAAATTTGCCTAAAACCTAATTGATAATATATTAAATAGAACATAAAAAAAGAAAAAACCAAGCTTAATAAAAAATTATTTGACATATTTTAGATATATTTTCGACATATTTGATTATAAAAATAAGCAAAAAAAAATTGACCACTCAAGAAGATTGTCTAATATTTAAATAGTTTAGAAATATCCCCATAAGATATGATGATTAATATTTTTTGTATCAATTGCATGTGTATAAGAAAAATTCAAAAGAGAATTATGCAAAGTACATAACCCGCTTTGTATTTGCATGAACTGTGATAGCTCTTGCCATTGCACCTGGTGTTCTATCTTCACTGCAGCCAGATTGATGAGATCCTTCTCCACTGCAAAAAAAAAAAAAAAAAATGACTAATTTTAAATTTATTTTTCATGGAATTTCCATATATAATTAGAGATTCTATATAATTAAAAAATGCAATAGTATTTATAAATAGAAAATAAAATCATTCTTCATAATAACAAATCAATAAAAATTACTTATTTAAATAATATAAAAACAATAAAATAAAAAAAATATTTTCTAATTTTTTATAAAAAGTAATAATAAGCAAGCAAGTTAATTAATAAATTTGAATTTAAACGTTGATATATATATATTCTTCAATAATAATTCTTTGAAAATTAAGCAAGCAAATTGATTAATTAATTTGAATTTACATTTGTGTGTGTGTATATATATATATTTTTCGATAATATTTTTATTCAACAAAAAAATTGATTAATAAATAGCATCAATAAATCATATAAATATGTATGTTTTATTTTACATTTCTGAAAATATAACTTGAAAAATTAAAAAATACTGATCATTTTTTCATATAATTATTAATTTAATTAAATAATGTATTAATTTATTATATTATTAAATTTAATTCATAATCTTAAAAAAAATTAAAATTTAAAATATTTCTAATCTATATAAATTATCTCTTTTTTAAATATTTTTAAATGGAAATTTATAAATTATACTTTTTATCAAAAACAAATATAATTTTGTAAACTTTAATATTTTTCATGCTAAATTTAATTAAAATGAATGATTTTTTATTTTAGATACACAATAAATTTTTTATCTCAGAATAATTTAATTTATCTCAAAATTTTAATTTTCATATTCTCCGTTATGTATGTTTTCAAAATAGAAATGTTCAATAAATATTATCATTTTTTACTACTATTAATTATTATCTTATAATTAAAAAAAAAGAATCATATGGAATTTTTACTTACCTATCATGCTCTTTTTCTACCAAATGATATCTGGCTCGGAATGCTACGAGATGAGCATAATATGCAGGTGCAGGTATACTAACAGATCTCGTACATCTGACATATGTATGACATAATTGATAAGTTAGAGACTGTAATTCATCACTTTCAAAACGATTATCATCCCACAAAACATGATAATGTGATGGTCGTGACGTGCCCTGTATAATACAAATAAAATTGTATTATTTATATTAATAAATTTAATAAATTTACATATAAATAGAATAACGAAAAACATTTAATTAAATTTTTTTACCTGGATACCTTGATGACTACATAAATAAAAATCAAATTCAGTTGGATGCGTTATACAAACATCAACTGTCGTACCCGCTGGTATATTTCCACTTTTACCGCTTTGATCTCTTTTTTCTGAACAAAATAAGCGAGTGTGATGTCTCTTTTGGACGACAACGAATGTTATTCCAGGTCTATATTCAGCTTCAAGTTTAATACAAGCTTCACGAATGGCAGTTAGCTCGTGTTGCAGAACATGAAGAAATTGGCCTTCTGAGACACCATCACGATAAAGAATTATCCTGAGTGGTTTATATCCTCCAGTGCTTTTGTAAAACATAAGAAGAAGTTCCCTTAAAAAAAATTAATATATAATTATTTTTATTTAGATACAATGTCTATTTCATGTTAAAATTAATAAAATTTATATAAAATTTCTTATATATATGAAAAAGAATTTAGCTTTTTCTTTACAATTAAATTTATGTTGAATTGTAAAAAAGGTATTCAATGCTCAAAATTAAAAAAAATATTAATTATTTAAAATAAAAAAATTCATTAATAATAATTCTTCCTAACCAGTTTTCATTTTTTTGCTTCTTACTTAATATAGATAAAAAGTATAAACTACATAAGTTTTACAATTTTCAGTATAGATCAAAATGACGGCATTTGAACCCCGCGTCGCTGCTCAAGCATCCAGTGACCGAGGCTTAATATAATATCTTTAATTATCTAAAAATTAAATATCTTATTTTATTATTATTTATTTATTAATTTATGTTTTATTATTTTATTTTAAAAATTAAATTGGTCTTGAAATCTTTGATGGTTTTTGTTTACTTATAAAAGTTTAATTTGCTCAAAATATTTATTAGCTCATATAATATTTTTTTATATTATATTATAATAAAATTATAACAAAAATATTAAAATTAATAATTAAAATTAAAATATTAATTATTATTATATATATTTCATATTACGCAAAATTTTTAAGAATCATATATACATATTTTTAAATCAAATAAATTAATTCATTATTAAATTTTATACATTTATAGAACAAATTAAAATTTATAGAAAATTTATAGAACAATTTACTTACCTCACCATTGAACTAAGTTCCTGAATAATTTCTTGTCTATGTTGTTGAACTCTAACAGTAGCTGCATATCGAGATGGATGTGCATCCATACTGGCAACTACTGCAGCTATGCTAGGTTTTTTATTATCTCCAGCAGGTGGATGAGTCACATCAGCTCCAAAAAATATAACAGGTTCATCAAATACTTTTGGTCTAATAGTAGGTACTAGAATACTATTAATACCACCTAATTTTACATTAATTTTCAAACATAAATTTGACAGCGTTTGTGGTGATGTTTTATTAACATTTTTTGCTTGTACACATTGTGTTGCCATACCCAATAATGTATCTCCTACTCTTTTAACTTCAGCTGTAAGTAAATAGAATATATAGTATATGTAAAATAATATATTATCAATACTATATAATATCATATAATCTTATATAATACAAGAAATATTTCATTATATATAATATATATAATAAAAGATATATGTAATAGAATAATATATAATAATAATTATATTAAATTCTATTATAACAAATTATATACAATAAAATAAGTTATATATGAATATTTTTAATAAAAAAATATCTATTATGAAACTAATTTATTGAGAGTAATATAGAATTGCATTTTATTATATTTTATATATTATAAAATATAAACAGAATATTTATATGAAATTATATGAAAATTTATTGTATTTTATTATATTATGTAAAATATAATATATATAATTACCATATACAGGCGTTTTTCCAGGTAATATAACACAAACAAGTTGTAATGATGAAAATGTTGCTTTTAAATATCTAAACATGGGCTCTACTTGATCTGGCCCAGTAGCATATTTACAAAAACATGGTTGCCCAATAATTGGCATCCCAGCATCATTGCTTATTCTTTGTAATTGTGCTATAAAATTACGTATTGCGTCATCTCGTACAGTTCTTTGTGGAGCAAAACAAGCAATTGCCCAAACTCTAATTTCCACACCCGTGAAAAATTGTTTTCCACGCATATCCCAAACACCACCATTAGGTATAGCTTGTTGTTTTGTCTTTAGCATAAAAAAAAAAGAAAAGAAAAGAAAAAAAAGATATATATCGCTGAATATCATGATATACATTTTAAATCATAATAAATAAATAAGAAAGATGCACCAGTGTTTATATACAATCCATGCAATCATTATTTTTTTATTTTTATTTTTTTTTAATTCAAAAAATTACATAAATATTATTTATAAAAATAATGTAAATAAAAATATATAAAAAAAGATCATAAATCAAAATAAATAAAAATCTATTTTATTTCATTACTGCATGGAACGAAACTGAGCATCAAATAGTAATTAAGATATTGGACTGTAAATGTAATGCAAATTATATTAAACAAAAAGATTAAATTTTTTTTTAAAGAATAATGTTTGAAATAATAATTATATTGCTTTTGTTGTTTATAAAAATAATTTGTTTTCATTACAATGACAGTCCACATCAAAATCAACCAGGTCTAAAACTCATGCATTCATTTGGCACAATTTCATTTTATTAAATTTTAAATATATTTTAATAATAAAAAAAGTTAAAATTAAATGTATTACTACTTTTGAAAAAATTTTCATTCCATCATGTAAAATCATATTGATTAAGATTCTTATTTTAATAAAAAAAAAAGTTTGTAAAAATATCAGGAAAAAATTTAAATTAAAATTTTCATTAAGATTATATGATAATTGCAAGAATTTTATTTTTATATTTTCAAGTATATAAGCAAATAACTTTTCAAATTTCTCAAAAAAATAAGAATTTTTGCAAATGTGTGATTTGTCTAGACCTGACTGATTAAGTTGGAAGTTTCTCACCTGTCCACTGAGGGAACTTACGCGCCCTCCATACTGAAGTTTGGGTGGAGGTAGAACACGACCCCTAACTTCCATCATATTGTTTGATATTGTCAAACCAAATTCTTGAACATATGAATCATTATTAAAATCAGCTCTTCTAACTAAATTATTTATTTCTCTTTCGCGATCTGGAGCAGAACGAGCTGTAGCTTTTATCATAGTAGAAGTCTGCATATCAGTCAATTTTTTGATACAACGTTGCCCAGCAACAATATTACAGACCTAATAACATATATATAGAATACTTAAAAATTATATAATATAATAATATTTATATAATTATATAAATAAATTTGTGTGAATGTATAATTCTAAAACATATTTATCCAAAAAATTTCTAATATATACAGAATATTAATAAAAACAGATATTGATAAAAACAACTTTGAAAAACCGAATTTAAAAATTAAAACAAACAAAAAGTTGATATATAGAAATATCAATTGAAGTTAACTTATTAACTTATAACTTATAAGCAATTAAAATTTATTAAATGAAATTAAATGAAGTGAAACGGAAATAAAAAAAAATTTAGAAATAAAATAATTTAAATTGATTTTAATTTAATAAAGCTCTATCATTTTTATAAATTTTTGCTTGTTCAATATCTAGAATAAATATGTCCAAACATATTCTACATATATATTCTATATATGTAGTTATATAATTGTGTATATATAGAGTTGAACAAAATAGAAAAATAAATTTAAATATAAATAAAAATTATAATTATAATATTAATTATAAATTATGTTTAATTATAATAATAATTCTTGAATAAAATAAACAAAAAAAAACAAAAGTTGGTATGCAAAAATATTGATCAATTGAAGTTTATTTGTTAAATCATAAACAATTTAATTTTGCATTAAATAGAATAGAATATGATGAAGATAAAATTAGCTAATTTTAAAAAGCAAAATTATATCACTTATAACTTGGGAAATAAACTTCAATAGATATTTTTTTATATTAATATTCGTTTTAATTCAATCTTTTGTTTATTTTAATCTTTAAAATCATTTTTAAAATCATCATTTAAATTTTCTATTTATTCTATTTTTTCATTCTTGATTTTATATATTTTATAGTTATAATTAATTAAACTTCTAATTAATTCATTTGTAATAACAACAATCAAATATAACTTATTTTCAAATCATTATCAAATAATAAAACAATATAATGAATTTAATTCTTAGGAGGTCATAATCATAAAAATTATATGCTAAAAATAATATTATATAATTTATATCTTTAAAATTCACTGCAACTTTCCAAAGATTAAATATGCAGTTAACTATTATAATTATTAATTGCATTTGTTATAATTCAAATTAATTATGTTTACATATTATATTTACAAACAATTCATGTAAGAATATCATTTAAGAATAAAAACACATATTAAGAAAATTATTAATAAATCTTGATATATCAATAAGTATATATTAACAATTTTTAAAAAAAAATTTTTTGAAAGAAATGTGAATCTACTTAATTATATTTTTGATAGATCTAATTATTATATAATAATTGTAAAAATAAATATATTAAAATCTTATCTATAAATAAGATCATGTAGCATTGTGTAATGATAAATGAGAATGGAATACTTTTCTTTACAATTTTGAAGAATTTCTCACTAATATATTAATTCTCACTAATATATAATATATAAGAATAGATTATTTCTTATCTTATAGCAAAATGAATGAAAAATTAGTATTTTTTTTTATTTTTGTTATAAGAAATTTATGTTATATTACTTATATAATAATCTAAAAATATTCAATGAAAATAAATATTATAAATGTTGTAAAATTAATTGGACAAAATTACTAAAAACAAACCTCAAGTGGCAAATATGTATGTTTATGTTCCTGTCCAACTTGAAGACATGGAAGATATGGATGACGTAACTTCATTTTATACTTATCTAAGAAATATTTTGCAACTGTACATTCAACTGTTTGTCCATTTTCTAATTGTAACGGGAATCTAAAATTTTCACAAATATTATAAGTATATACATTATATATATACATTATATTATATATATACATTATGCATATATTATGATTACTTTTAATATACTCACGATTGCATTTGAGCAGGTTTACGTGTAACATTACACACTCTGTATTTTCGCCTCATTGTTCCACAATGTGTGATTTCAATTTTTAGTCCTTTAATTTCTTTGGTAAATTTAACTCGTTGAGAATCTGTTAAAGGTCTTTTTTGGTCTCCTATGTCTCGAATATCTAATACTTCACACATAAATTCTATGACAGGTTGTGCTTTATAAAATGCAGTTGCAGATACTATAAAATAATTAAATATATATAAAAATTATTTTTATATTATATTGTATTTTAATTAGATTATATTTTAATATATTTTATATATTTACCATCAATATTTAACATCATTTTCCATTGAGATGGCCTAACTGATTGATGAAAACCAAACCAAACTTCTCTTCCACCGCCTAATGGATGATAATATCCATCTGGTGTACTAAAGAATGATCTACCTACTGGAGTATATGTCATAGATGGTAAATGCCTCATTACAACATCTAAAGCAAGTATAGCATCATATGGAATTTGTCTTGTTCGTCCTTCTAAAGCTTCTTCTAATGCAAATAGTGAAACTTGAGCCAACCACTTTATCACAACTCTGAAAACTCTATCTTTACCCTCACCAGGCAGTGTTACCTAAAAAATTAATATTAAAAAATAAATCTTAAAAAAAAAAAATATATGTCTTATTTTTTATTATACTTACTTCTAATTCTATTTTATCAGTACCAATAGGTAAGGGGTCCCTTGTATATAAATTATTTCTTCCATCAAATACAGGCTTAAGAGTTCCAAATATTTTGGTATATGCATGAACCATTGTTTCTATTATTTCTCTATTAACTTTACGAGGACATTTATCAGGTTGAATATTAATATCATAATGATGCACATAACCACGTGGCATTGTTATTTGGAAGTGATTAGCTCTTAAGACAATTGGCCTGCCTTCACGTCCTATATTTGGTCTCCGAGGACATGAAAACACTATAAATACATATTTGATAAGATATTTTTTTTTGTTTAAATTAACTTATGTTATTATTAAAATTAATTTATTTTCTTAACTTTATCCTCTATTTAATTATAAATAATTATAATTATTGTAGTTACCTATAAAATATTTAAATAATATTAGAACAAAATCATTTCTTTTTATTATTATTTTAAAATAATTTATTTTATTTTAACTTAATTATTTTAAAATAAAATAAAAAAAATATAAATTTTTTCAAATTAAAATAATAATATATAATTTAAATTAATTTTATAATTTGTCTTTTAGAAAGAAATTATATGGATCTTATATATTTATATTTCAGTATTTTTGGTTAACTCTTGATGCATAAACTGGATTTATTTTGATCCAGATTTGATCCATATTTTCAAAAACTTAATTAGAGATAATTTATGATTATTCTATGCTAATAACTACTAATATTAAAATCAATAAAGTAATTTGAATATCTAAAAAAATTGTCAGTCCAATTTTATATTTCTTTTATTCAAAAAAATTTGTATTTATTCATCGTATATATTAAAACAGATTTAATTTTTTTTTTAAATTATTGATTACTTATTATTGATTATTGATTTTATTATATAAAATTGAGAAACGAACTAGTAGTAAGATAGTACAAAGGCAAAAAGTATATTTGAAAAGTATATTTTGACTATTTTCTGTTTCTTTAATGCTTATTTTATTCAAAGAATTAAAAATTATCCAAACATATATGTATAATTACATATATATAATATATACATATCATACATATACATGTAATTATCTAAATCATAATAAATATGATAATAAAACAAATATACTTAATTATTTTTTTATATTTTTATATTTTTTTATCAAAATAACAATAAAAAATAAAAACAATTTTATATTCATCATATATTTTGTTTAAATTTAGTACTAAAAGATAGTTTGATTCAAATTTTTTAATATAATTTTTTAATATATATAATATTGGAGAATTTCCTTAATATTTCTATTCTTTATCTGAGTTTTTGTACTAAATTATTTTATTAATAATTATTTTTTATAAAAAAATATATATATTTCACATAAATATTTTAAATAAATTATAATTAATAATATTCCATTATATTTAAATAGAATTTTATTTGATTTATATTCATATGTTTTGATTAAAAATAACTTATCATATAACATATCAGGTTTTTACATTTGGTTATTATTCTATTAAATAAATAAAGAATATGATGTATATAATTCTATTAAATAATAATTATGATAAAATTTCAATAGAAAGAAATTCAAATAT